GTGTTGATCCATTTGATAATGTTTAATTCCTTCTAGATGACATATATATAGAATAAGAAGAAACAAATTATGCATATTCTAATTATACCTGTGGAGCCATATCTCTATCAACTATATCTACAATTCATTAGCATAATAGAAGATCAGGTTGGATCAAAATATTGTAACCAAAAGGAGGAATAATTCGCTTGTAATTAAGCATTCGGAATTGTTAGGAAGAATGTATTGTATGTATTCGCAATTATCCAATAAATTGTGTTAAATGGAAATTGCATTAAATTTCATTTAATTAGAAATTGCTAGTCTTTCCTGATGGATGGACTATTACTTCTAATTATTTAGATGTTGCAACCTCATTTTGTGGAGGTTGCGAATATCTAAAATTTTAAGAAATTTCTTATTCAACTGAACTACCTCCTCATTGACATATATTAATAAGGTTTCATAAAGGATCTTAAAGTTCGATATTATTGGACTATATGTATGATAAGTTGACAATTTTAGAGAATGTATATTTTGTTGAAATTTTAATAAAAAATTACTTTAATTCTATTTTGAATTTGAATATAAAGACAATACTTTCTACAAATTAGAGTTGGATAAGAGACTTTGAAATATATTACACTTTGCCAGAAATAACATTTCTTAGTCTGAATGAAGGTTGTTAGGACTAAATTAGTGATAAATGTTTGAATTGTAGAGAAGGTTGGATTGAAGATGAATATTAATAGAACTGCATTCCAAATTGTGGGGATACAATCATTCAAGGGTATGAGGAATGTGATGATGGTAACTTAATATTTAATGATGGTTGTTTTCAATGTAAATATTAATGTATTGATTCTTGCAAAACTTGCATATTTGGAATTTGTAAACTATGTCTTTATGGTTTTGTTCTTAATGAAAATAATAATAATTGTGAACCATTATGTGGGGATGGTATTGTGATTCCTTACTCAAATGAACAATGTGATATTCAGGGTGAAAAAGATTAAAGTAGTTGTAAGGAATGTAGATATATATCAATTCCTTATTGCTAATAAAGTTATTTTTCAACTTGTTTAGAGTGCTATTAAGGATTTTCTATTTTAGATAATGTATGTTACCCTTATTGTGGAGATAAAAATGCTCTTGACAAAGTTGAGAATTTTGATGATGGAGATTTAACAATTTATGATAATTGTATTTTTGTGATCAAGGATTTTGTAGATTAAAATGTAAAGATGGATATGAGTATAATAATTATAATTGTCAATCGATTTGTGGAGATTAAATTATCACTATCAAAGAGTAATGATGATGGCGATAATATTATATTTGATGGTTGTTTTGATTGCAAGTATTCTTGTCCTGAAAATTGTCATGATTGTTATTAAGGTAAAAGTCAATATCAAATTTAAGGCTCAAATCAATGTAAATTATAAATAATTTGTGGAGATAGTTTTGTTTAATAATAAGAGGAATGTGATGATGGAAACAATTAAGCAGCTGATGGCTGTATGAATTGTTTAATTTAATAAAATTGGATATGCAAATCAATAATATAAGATTCTCCAAGCTAATGCATTTATGTAAAAGCTCCCCTTTTAGTAATTAATTATCTCAATATGACTCAAAATAAATAATATTTAAGTATCTAATTTAATTAATAAGTAAAAGTCTAAACTTATTAATTATTATCAAAAACTATTTCTTTAAAATTAGTGAATATAGATAATTACAATTGGAATAATAATCTTTAGATAATATAGGATGTAGGATCTTATGTGATTTTTGGAGAATATGTTTTAGAAATAGAAATTTTCTAAATAATTGATTTTAGGCTTATCTTGAAAATCTAATTAAATCAATCAGTTGTTATGGTTAATAAAATAATAGAGTTGGTTATGAATTTAATTTAATTTTGATTATAATATAGAAAATGCTTTCTTTGTTGACTATTCAAAATCTATAACATTAGATTATCCAAAATATCTTAATGAAGTCTAAATGGAATATTCATTAAGATTAAAAAATACTAATATGAACCTTATATATATTTTGGCTATAATAACTGCACTAAGTTATTATTTGGAATTGGAGATATATTTGTGGAAATTTTGCCATTTTATAATACTAATAATACTTAAGACATATGAATCTAAAATTTC